AACATAGCCTTGGCATAATTTCACTTCCAGAAAACCACATCGCCTGGCGTTTAACAAATTGGGGTGCTTTCGGTAGGCGCGGTCTGCCATTGAGGATGCTCACTGGATTTCGGTATGTGGAATTACTGAGACTCAATTTGACCTAGCTTACCGCAAGCCGCTGCTTTCGGCGATAAGAGAAGCGAATAACGTGAGCCAACTTTGAGTCTTTCAAAACTACAGCGAAGCTAAAGCCAACGTTGAAAAGTCTTCGGGTGGGAAAGGATATCACTCGAGTTCAAAGTCTTGGAAAGGCGTGGCCGTGGGATGGGGTATTTTGCAGGCCTTTGCTTCGAGACAAAATAATTGCTCATTTACTTTTGCGTTTCGACGTTCCTTTCTTCTGGACGCTGGCGGTACTGTATAATAACGTGCTTGAACTTGTTAAATATGTGTATAAGAGATAAAGGACAAATTTTCAGTTATTATGTATCAGTTTCCACATTGTTGGCTGAGTGGGTACCATCGATCCTAAGATATGATTTTGTCTGAGCGTTTCTCTTATGTCTGCTGATGCCTGAAACCTTATTTAGACCGCAATGGAGTTAATTTAAAAGGCTGTTGTTCGAGAAGCTACCGGCTACATGCAGCCTAAACATCAATCCGTTTCCTTCTGCCAACTTCCAATAATCCATGAAGATTTTCATTGTTTACCGTCTACGCGAGGCGCGCGACAGAAGGCTTAGTTCTTTGACCAGCACTCCGTTTCGATGCAGATCGAAGAATTTTAGATCCTATGCTCACGATAGAATACAATAAGTGCTCTCGCTCATATTAATGGAGGTTTTAATTTATTGTTCTTAAGAAAAATATAGCATTGCGCCAATACGTTCCCGTATCGCCGCGGTCGCAGGCCCCTTCAACAGCTCCACCATCAGGAATGATGATGTCGCCATGCGTCCCGCAGCAGTATGGGCAAAATGACAGGGATTTTTGCATGAAGTAGCTTGTTCTGATTTAAGACTTGGGATACATTTGTCCCCTCCTCTCCTCTCTCACTCAGGAGTGATGGGTGCAGAGACAGAGTTAAGAGAGCTGCAGGTGGAATCGAGCACAGTACCTGGCAAGCTAAATAGCTCGTTCACGCACGCCACATGCTCCTGGTCCGCGCATGACGGACCGAGTATCCACACAACCAAGAAAAATCCATCATGGATCCCGACACAGTAAGAGTGCCATTGGGGTCACGCTGAGAAGGAGCCATTTCAGCCTGACTATCTATCATCGAGGTGGGCCGAATTATCTCGTCAGTAATCAGCCTCCCTAGTCGCGTCTTTTGATGCAGCGCCGTAGCTTAGAAGAGATCAGATTGTTTCTAGTGAGGAATATGCGCTGAGTGCTGCGGGGGTAGAGTCCCCAGAGTCGACCTCACTTTCTCCTACTCCAGGCACTGGTACTTTGTCTGAACCGGCCGGTCTTCGGATGCGTAGATTGGGTGCTGATAGAGCTCAGTAACTCGTCTTTGCCTTCCATAAACGGTCTGCCCGCACAGCACATCAGGTTTTTGCGCAATAAATAGGAGACTAGGATCTCACATGCGTCAATAAGGAGCCATATTACCAGGCTCTCACTTCACCAGTCAGCCACTCCATATATTCTCACACGGTTGGCTGCGGGATTGTTGCCAGCAGCCATCATGACAACGCCGCGCCTCTCACTAGTGCCTGCACCTTCGCACCAGTGACCGCCTGCTTTGGCCTGCAAGTCTGCTGGCTTCGGCCTGTGTCGCAGCGATCCTGTCCGCAGTACACTTCTGGTCGATTCTCTGCCTGCAGCATGCGAGGCTTATCACCAACTTCGCGCGGGTTCGAAGTCAATAGACGCAACTCTTCGCTGATTGGTAACACAGGCGGGTGCATTAGACCAGTGGCGTAAACAACTTCCCTCGGCACTTGTGGCGGCGACTTACTGCGACACTTAGGACGTCTTTCTGGTGACAGCTGCTTACGCGGCGCGAACGCACCCTCATCCGACTGCCAGTTTTCCTCTGTTATTTTGTACAGAATAGATCCTCTTTCCCACTGGCGTCCAGCTCTTCTCTTCTTTCCGGGAACGGACCAGAAGATCGTAGTGGCCAGGGCTACGTTTTGGCTTTAGCTACTGTAGTATTATTGTGTCCATTTTACATCCTTGACCGCCACAGGGTCTGCGTCGCATCTTCAGCTGGCAATCTTACAATTCACGACCTTTCGCGTATCATGATGGATTGGAAGACGCTAGAGTTATTATGGTGGGGAATGCGTTGTAGGACCATGGGAGTGGGATGTCCAGGGTCAGCCTCACCAGCTCACTTTCCTCTCCTGTTCTCCAGCCAAATTTCAAAGCCGATTAACAAACTGACGCTGAGATTTGGCCAGTGAGTGATAGGCACGAAATGTCCGTCTATGGGTGCCACATATGACCGGCTCCACCCATAAAGGACACAAGGTTTCCACGCACGAATAAGATCATGTGATTACCGATTCGGTATAATTCAGTTTATATAAAGGATAGAGGCGAAGCATTGGCAAAGCCTGTTTACAAATAGACAGATGAAAGGCGTACACACATTTACATAACGGTTATGACAGTCATTGATATCGAGTAAATATTTGGCCATCAAGCACAAATGTATCAAGACTTTTAGAAGGTCAACGTTTTCCGCCAAGACAACGGAGTCCGGCAAATCATTTCGTCCCCTAACCAGCCGGTGGGATAGAAATTTGGCCCTCATTTCACGTTTGGCATGCTTTATCTTCAGTTTGTGCTGGTGGCCTGGAAGATCGGTTGTTCGCGCCAGTTCGAAGAAATTGTCAAACTGAAGAGCATAGTCTAGCCCTCGGACGATCATAAAGGCCACGATCATATCCCCTCTCTGGTGTCTATAAAAGAGAGGAAATATTTTTAGCTTCTCCAGGCTCCCCTCACAAGGAAAGCAACTTAATCTGCCGACCATTTCGGTTGCTCTTTGTTGTGCGTTCCCCAAAAAGGTGTGATCTTGTTTCGTCCAGGGGCAGCATGCCTGAACGTAATATTCCAGCATTGGCCGAACCAATGTTCCAAGCACTCGGCCGAGAAATTCTTCGTCAAAATTGAGAAAGGATCTCCTAATCGCGCCTAGGATACCCATAGCCTTCTTTGATACGCTGGCGCAGTGAGACGATGGTTTGTGAGCTGACTCATCCAAACACCGAGGTCTCTTAACTCGTTAAATGATTCGAGTTGGTGACGTCCTATAGAGCAATGAGATTCTAATCTGAATGGCCACCTATTGCTAGATCGCAGTCGGATACGTTGGCATTCGTTAAGGCTGAGGTTAAGACGTCACTAATCACAGCATTGTTGCAAGCGATTCAGGTTGTTTTGTAACTGTGGCGGGTATTCCGACTTCTCTATTGATTTCCCCAATTTGAGATCATCGGCTAACATTACGCGCTCGCAGTTTAGACAGTCCAGGCAGTCGTTCACATATAGATTGTGCGTGGACAGTGCGGACATTTGAGAAGTGGCGAGAAGTATTTGTTGACATCCTGATACTGGCTCTCCAGTCTCAGACCGATGGATTCCTGAGTAACCGACGATGTCGGTACGTGATATGCATGTGTGGTGACAATGCGACAGGATAATTTGGTAGCGCTGTCAGTGTTCTTTGCGGTGGCCACGCTTATAGGCAAAGTGTTGGTAGTGATAGAGGTGGGAGAGTTGTCGTATGCGGAAGCTGGGCTTGACATGTCGACACTGCAGTGGACCCCGCTGGCTTGGATATGAATTTGGCCATATCGGCCCGTTTGACGACTGGATGCGCGTGAACACTGGTGGCAGTTAAGGCATGTGTGATGGTTTTATATGGAACTCCAGACCCAACGGTCTCGAGGCCATATATTTGCAAGTGGCCGAGCAGATCCATGTGCGACATGAATGTGGGATTTCAGTGAAGACAGTTTTGAATTGAGTTCGCCTTGCTAGTGGTGGGCGCGCTGCTGGTATTGGTGGTGATGCGGAAGGATTCTGGTCCGTTCCAGAACTTCCGTGTCAAATATCTGTCCAGTTACTTCATCCTGAGTGTTTTTCGGAAATAACCGACGTGGAAGTGGCTCCATCTTCTGACTGCGTTAGCGTGGACAGGCCATGTCTCCATCCCGTCTAGGAGGGTCACAGAACTACCGTATAATACGTTTTGAGTTTGACGTCGAGGTGCACTCTGTGGTGGTTACAGGTGGAGATCTATATCCGACCATACGGCTGAGTGAATTAGAGATCGTGGCCGCTATTTTTATCGCCGATCTTGGTGTTATTTGAAAAGACACGACTGAGATGGCTTTAGTTGTTCGCCGGTGCAACTTAAGTTTTAGTCATGCTGATCCTTGGCGTAGTGTGTTCCTCCGTAACCGCCTATGATCAGTCCAAAGTTGACGTTTGCGGAGGACAAGAGGTAAATAAGTCTTCGCATGGTTGCATCTGCCATGACATTATGCGCACGACAGTCCGTGAAGGGAGGTTCATGAACAGTGGGCGATGACCTTCATGCGGGCGTTTGAATTCGTCGAATATTGAAGGACTGACATAGTCTAAAGGACGATGTTGATTCCAATACGCTCCTCCTGACAGGCCTCCTTCGGCTTGGCAGAAATAATGAGGCTGAAAAGGATGGGGGACGAGTACGCGGTCCTGCTCCACGCATAAGTTCGCATGAATGTTCTTGAGTCTTTCACATTGTTTGTAACGTGCGTCATCCTTCAATTGTGCAACTGGCGCACCGAACACGTGAATCACTCAGGGCATCCAAATTTTGCCATGATTCTCCGGAGTCCCTCGCGGTTGTCTGCGTTGAAGCTCTACATCAGGTCTACGGAGGAAATTGCCGATTTTGTGTACATTTGGCCGCACTTCACCCAAAGGTAGCGGACGACGATGTTCCTGTCAATGGTTCCGTGATGTCGTCGAAATCCACACTGGCTTTCTTAGAGAAGTCGTTGTTCCATATGTCTGTTAAAAAGAATGAGGAGGATGCGGGTGAGGACCCTACGGCAATGTCTGGCAGCGAAGTTTTTCTGTGACTGCCACAGATATTTCAGCTGTCCTTGTGCTTGAAAATGTGCAAAATGATGCCGTCGTTGAAATCCCGAGTAGTTGTCCTTTCTGCCATTTCTCCTGCAACACACACCCACAAACACGCACTTTCATGGACCACTGTCACTATCTTGCTGCAGCTCATCTTTCAAGGACTGCGTGAGCAACATATTTTTTTAAACATTTGCTGCATATCCGCTGTGTCGTTGTATTGCCGGTTAAGTTTGCGCATTTGGAATGCTTTCTTGTTGAATATTATACCCTCTCTTACAGTTTGAGAGCGCATCGTTTCGTGTGATGATTCGCCTTCTGGCCCTGATCTGAGAATGAGCGAAACCGAATCATGTATCGACAGCGGACTATGTTTGAGCGCTCGATGACGGACCAAAATCAGACTGAAATTAGGAAGGCGTCAGCTCTTGGGCTTGAGAAAGGCGGCTGATGTCAGAAAATAAATCAGATATAGCCATTCAAGTGCCCTATATCTTTTCTAATAACTCCTCGAACGTATCTTGTGTAGCCTTTCAGTACGACATTTTCGGTAAAAAACTTGCCACCATGGCTCCTGTTCGGTCTTGAGAAAAAACCACCTAATCTGATAAATTATCATCTCATTTAAACTACACGCATAATGAAAGATTACCCTAAAAGTGCTATTTGTCCAGGCACCTTTATAAGCCGATTCTCCGCGCAAGGCAGAAAACCTTATATCGAATTACAAAACGGAGACGCTATTTACATAATTTGTCCAGGCATTTGGTTAACTTTTTAAGTGATTAGGACGTCATCTCCCCGTCTGATGGTTGAAAGTAGTCCAAAACACAGCTGTTCTTCTTAAGAAATCGAATATCTGATAGCGAACTCTAACTGATATAACATGAGAACCTCTTATATCAGCGTTATCCGAAGGACTGTTCATATGCCTAGTTAAGATGTTTTCCTCAAAGAGGCGTATTTTCGTGTCTCAGTTTCGGAAGGACCTGGAGATTCCACGAGTGGCGGATATCTGGAAGGAATTCAGATACAACCATGGGCGGGATAAGGAGACCCTTGGGTGTGTTAAAAAACCTACTGTGCGACTATGAAATTCTGCTCTCGGGCCTGATCCACAGACTTCGCTGTACAGAGATGTAGAGCTGGATGAAATCACCCGTATTATCTAATAAAACGCCATGTTCTCACCTCCGCCTTTTAATTAGGTTCTTCTGTCAGAGTGTCAGATGTAATCCAAAGTTATTTTATCTGTCTTCAGACATGCAACTGTGATTAAAGCTCCTGATAAATCCATTAAAGACTATGATATTTCAAAATCCCCATTCATCAAGGAAAGCAAGGTCAGCCGTCGTACGAATCATTAGAACGTATGCGGAAAAACTTTTAACTGCGTGTTACTCCCACTACTAGGCAGTTAAAACTGCCGGAAAATCCACTGATCTTGTTGTTTATTGATGTAAGATAATATGGCATATTAACTTTATTTTGTTTAAATATTCTTTGCTCTATGCCTCAGTGATTTTGGAACTTTCTCCAATGCTTCGGTGAGAGTTTAAAAGTTCCCGTGCACAGTTTCCCATTTCTCTGATCATTTGTCGTCATCTGCATCATATTATCGGCTCTAGTTTGCTTTCTCTTTCTTTGCATCGAATTGGAACCTGACCTATGCCAATAACCCAATTAGCGTACACTTCTTCATTCCGGGGCAGTGACCATGGGCCACATCCTGTTGAAATGTGCAAGCAAATTAGTTCTCTATAAAATCTGTGGTAGTTGTACATTTATTTATGAACTAGTAGATAACGTTACTGAATGATCAGATTGGTCAAACAATGCGATTATGACTGCAATTTGGCAAGCAGCATACGAAACTGCTTCTGTTTCGTCAAATTGAAAATGCGGAATTTTATGAGAGCCCGTTGACCTGAATTAGCGTTTTAAACGTTTCAGCTGAATGAAGACAGGAACAGCCAGTGCTCATAAGCATCGCATATATCTTTCAGAAAATCAACGCCCATTGATTTACCTGCATGTTCAAATGGAAGATAACCCGCCATGCTATTTACTTGCATTTTTTGATCGGAGTTTTATCGTTATACTATGCCTAAATACATTGTGTTTGGGAAAAAATCCTTCGGAATGAAGGTGGAAAGTATTTTGTGGAGGAAACGGACGAGGTCACAAAGGTTATATAACTACAAGAATGTCGACGTTGACCTCTGGCTTGTTAGTAGCATATTCCAGTGGTGATTGACGTACTTTTTGAAAGCAGACAACTGAATTTTCATTTCAAATATGTATAAATCAACGATACAGAACATCGACTCGGACCTCTTTAATAATGCCAATTCCTAGAGTGAGTCCTAAATAAATTAGCTATGGTCCTATTTCTGAAAAGATATAGGGCTTTGATTCCAGCTTTGAACTCAATATGACCCACGTGATTGGTTTTGTTTTAATATTTCAAAATTTGAATTGGTACTTACGCGGTATTTTGGTTTGAATTTTTCGTTAGGCCGGTGCTCCTCCTGCACGTTAGTTCAGTTCAGTTTATTGAGGGAAATAGTCGTAAGCCTTTGAGTACCCTATTTGCAACGTAAACAATGTGTGGTATAAAAAAATGCTCTGGGCCAAAATAGTTTAAGCGAGCCCATAATGGTAGGACAAAATGGGAACGTGTTAATTGTATGATTAGCCCATAATCTGCATAATAGCAATTATCGTTATGATCACCTTCATTTGTGACCGCAGCTGTGTGCTCATAACTGGGGCTAAACTTTGTTGGAGTAATTGCTAACCGAAAATAGCAGCCTTAACGGTCCTCTTTTTTCGTTCACAGTGAACACAATAGTATTTAGGTATTCAGTTGAATTACGTCAGTAAATTAGTAAAACAGACCCTGGCAGCCCAGATGTTTGGTCTAGAAGTGGACCTTTTCTCCAGAAAATTCGCTTATGGCGAACTATTGTTTCGGTGTTCCTCGTGTGCCTGCAATTTTCCGGCCTTCATTAATTCCAATTCGCATATTTTTATTGATCATGGCTATCTTAAGTACTGTACTTTGTGGAGCTTTGATATTGCTTCATGCCATGTGATGTCGCGCAAGTGCCGAAGCTCATGCTAAGTTCATTCCTTGCTTGTGTTCGATTGCGAGGACGTATCGGAAAATGTTGATTGACGGAAACAGTCCCCGGTATTATCTGTATTCCTTACTTATGGCTTCTTCTCACGCTCTTCACACGGAAGTCGCTTTTGCGGCTTTAACGACAAATGTTCATGACGGCCAATCCTATGGACATCTTGGGAACACAGGATGCTTTCACACCATTTACGCGAGTTCCTCAGCACATGACCCTGACGTCTCCTTTATTATTTAGAACAGCCTTCTGTAGCAGTATGGTTTTATAAAATCTGTGTCGGGCCTGAATTCGTCACCCGCACCATGCAACACTATCAGTAAAACCAGATCTGCGCAGATCTTGTTTTACTGACCGTGGTGCTTGAGCCTCAAGCATGGCAAGAGCACCTTTCTAGCTCATTTCATAATTTGGGTCTTTGGGATCCATTTCTCCCCTGCTTTTTCTTGTTACTTCTCCAAATAAAGATCGAGTGACCGTAGTTAAGTTCACTTGACTGCATCTGCCAGGTCGTTCGAGTTTTGCTGATGAAAAGTCGGCAAGCCAATCTACAAACTTATTAAACTCAATGGAGTAGGAAGGGGGAAGTTAGCAGCTAGCAATCTTTGGCGTCCTTGCCGGTCGCAAGGACCCTTGCGGCCTAAATTATCGCAAGAGTTGAAGGCTTTGTGAGCCCCCAGTTGACCGAATTATGGTTCTCAGGTCCGTAGTATTTTAACCGACGCAATGACTCCCCCATATTAGATGCTGACATGAATGTAAATGCCCGTAATAGTACTGCCCAGGTGTAATAATTGGCCGCACTTTGAGTCCGTGAGTAAACACCGATTCCAATGGTAGTATTAGACAGCAAAGTCGCTGAGTAGGTTTTACGCCAATAACCAACACCGATAAAATTTCGACAGTTAACGCCTCGCGTGCGTACGAGCGAGAAATCGTCACACCGATTAAACCGTAGGTGAAGAATGCGGGGGTACTATTACGGAAATTTACATTCATGTCAACTGCATTCCGCTAATACTACACCGTTTGTCCATGCCCCACCCTTATCTGTAATTGTCTCGGGTGGTGGGTTCGAATACGGATCTGGAATGCCCCATATCTTTCTCAACTGTTTCTTGGATCTAGCTATTTCGCCTATACCACAAATCAAACCATTTCTTTTGTTAGTATTCTTGCCATTTCTTCGTAGGACGTAGGTAAAAACTGTTGGCAGCGCTATAATCTACTCTTTAGCAAAAATGTTCACTTCTTCGTCTTTTTCTCTAATGGTTCACCTCATTTTCGCCTCCAAATTCTTCACCGACATTGCTTTGAACATCACTATCCATCCTAAGTGCAAGGTCACATTCAAAAAAAATCAAATTTGGCTTAAATTTACACCGATTTTGCTTCACAATCCACGTTACAGTGAGACCGAAGAACTCCCATGTTTTTAATGCCTATTGAAGTCGGGTCGACTGCTTTTTCATGAGCACCGCGTTACAATGTCTCAGTCCTCCGAGTTCGTTGAGTAGCCAAGTTGGGCATGCAAGAACACGGCTGAAAAACGTTTGGATGACGGAAAGTCCGGAATCTTTTGTCGAATCTATCGGTTAGGTCAGTGAACATGAGAAGGCGAAGTCACATCGGTTCTCCCGGTGTAATCTAGTTCAAAGAGGTTAAGGCCAGCAGTTCTGTTTATTTTCCTAAATTCCATTATAAATCCTCCAATCATTACCTTCTGATTATGATCTCATTTCAGTATTTGATTTAAAACGTAAGCTGCTAGACTAACCAGGGAGGTGATCTTGTAAATTTAGCCAAAAATTCTTTTACCAAAGGGTGTCGCTTTTTATGACCAGGTCTTGGAATATAGGAGTGGAAGAAATGGACAGCTCCCAGATGATTGCAATTTTCGAAGAATGCCAGGAGACTTCTCTATCGCACGATCGTCTGTGCAGTACACTAATGAATCTCTACCAACAGGTACGTCCTTTAGCACACACAAAGTAAAAGTTATTATCTGGTACTACATCTTGTTGGCGTGGCTACCGAAGCCGTAAATAAATGCGATAGCCGAAAGTTAAAATGGCCGTGACTTGGCATATTTCGATTTCGTCTGTACTTCTTTTTCTCATCGGTCTTCACTGTTCCTGCGCCGATTTGAGCGTAGTAAGGAATGTAGCGGCTTGCCGTCTGCTTATTTGATGGTATGTTTGGTCGGACGATTTAGGCGCTCAGGAGACGTTGCAACTTATAGAACAACATTTGTCAGTGACACGGTGGTACAGCTGCAGCAGGCTTGGTGAAACACTGAGTACCACCATCACACCGTCTAGCTCTGTGTCTATCCACTTTGAGTGGAATGGAGCGTTGGGGCAAAATCGGAAAAACAGACTGCCACCGGTTGCTGGTAGTTCTGGCTGAATTGGAGAATGTGCTGCAGCGTGAGTATTTGATCGAAGCATCCATGTCTACCTCGGACCCAGGTTTGCTGGGATCACGTTTTAGAGTCACACGTACTTTGATACCGCATGATAAGAATTATAACAAAGGTCTTTACAGCAATGTAAGACTAATACCATGAAGGAGCACTCGGATCATTCATCGGCCGTGCTGAACGGAACGAGAACCGAGTCTCAGTCAAGAGGTATCAAATCTTCATGCTTGTTCAATAGCCACCTTGTACCAGGACCACAGTTTAGACTTAAGGCTAGGATGCCGTCGCCTCCGGCCTCCTTCGTTCGCATCCACAGAATTACACTAGTTCTTTCTTCCTGGAAGTAAGAGTTATTCAGAGCGCACAACTGCAAACAAATAGTTCAATCTGTAGCAGCTCCTTTGGTCGTAAGATATTTTCGGTCTTTCCTCCATTCATTTGACTGTGTAAGTTGTGACCAAGATTAGTGTCGAAGATATGATTGGCAGATGGGAACACTGACCGCTGTCCTTCCATAGCCACAAAAGGCCCATGCCATAACTTTTGGGAGCTGAGATAGGACCCCGCCACTATCATTTTTGGCGTCTGAAGTAACTTCGATTCATTGGGGTTTTCTTGCTCACATTGCAAATTGTGCAACGACAAGTGGCAGCTGAAGAGTTGTAACGAAATCTCTGACATTAAGTTCTGTTTTCACTGACGTTTGCGCCATCCTCAAGTGTATCTTCGCAAAGCTTTAGTGATCCATTTTTTGTAACAGCATACCCTTTCCAAACGATTTGTTTTCAGTGTCCTCTGACTGACTACCCATCTTTCCTCGCCTTTCTGGGATGGGACATCCTTATAACTGACATGCATCGTACGCAAGCCTAACACATCTAGGAGTATCAAACCAAATATGTATTTCCACCAGCATCTCAAACTGTCTTTAGTTTATGTTTTTTTATGCCAAAATACGCTCTTAAAACAAATATCAGAAACGTGAAGCTTCCTGCAGGAGTGCCGTAGGAAATTAGCTTCTCTCAGACTTAGCTATGAAAAGAAACTCACGTCTTTAAAGTTCGGGGTATAAGTGTGAAGCAGGTATGATGTTTTCGTAGCGCCTTCTGGTCGACAAAATTGGAACAGGGGACTTCGTAGGATCCCGCATGTAAACCAGCACGCCGCAGTCTATGCAAGCTTATCGCTTTTTCGGTTATTCATAAGTAGTCATTCTTACAAAAACACGCATATTTAAAGCCGCTGGTCAATGAGCTCTCAGTGTTTATATCACCTATCTGTGGATGTCCTTAGTACCCGTAAATTAGTGTATAGTGCCTAAGTACTTCGTTGACCAGGCTTTCAGGCGTGAGTTACTGTACACGTTGCCCTTTTTGATAAATTATCCTCAGTACTCATCATCATTTTGCGAACTCTGCGGACTCCATTGGAAATTTGTCTTATGGTTTTTCCTCGAAATAAATCGTGAAGCGTTAATTTATGTATTCTCTGAAGGTTTTAGGACCTAATTAAAGCCGAGTCGCCACACTTTAGGTTGATCTTTCATATCTGTTGATCTATATATTTCAGATGCCGTTTTCCCACTTTACGGAGGAGTTCTTCGAGCTGTGCCGTTACAGCCTGGTCAGTGCTGAGCGATCACCCTTCCGGGAACGCACAGTTGACTTCATTGTTCGTTTTGTGATGCAGGCTAGCAAACATTCGAACTCGACTTGCGACGAGACTTCAACAAAGAATCAATTACTGATCAAGACCTTCCTGTTTTGCGCCAAGGTAATTACCCTCTTATCTCATCTTAAGTCCGTTGACCAGAAGGGTAAGTCTTAATGCTCGGCTTTGCAGTAAGTTATGTTAAACGGGGTATTTAACCCAGTTGACACCGCCTGATCCCGCCTCCGGTTTTCACTGTCTTGCCACCGGGTTCTGGTGGGTGAGGGAGAGGGGTGTTGTAGAAGCAGCACAAGTCTGCTATCACCATAAACTAATTCACGCGCAAATCACTTTCCTTGCTCGACGTTGCTGTGGGGCACACGGTGTGCATCGTAGGTAACGCCGGTCAAATTGTCATGCCAAGTAAAGTATGTTAACCCAGTTACCTCAGTGGTGGTTTGTGTAGTTAATTTTTTAGTGTCATTCCGGGCACCAATCTGTCTTATTGGACATCTTCGAACCAACTGCAGCTCCCAGACGACGCCAACTAATGTCTCCCCGTCCGCCCCCTGCGTCACCCCCACACCGACAATCAACAATGACTGCACTCCTAAGTCCCCACTGCCATCCTCGATCGCCTTAACATCTGCTGCTGCGGCTCCTGCGCCCACCACCACTGCACACAATCCAGACGCACCGTCGAACATCAGCCTCAGCACCGTCAACACCAGTGATGTGGATTCGGCCCAAATCTGTCGTCATTGCGATCACACCTTCACCTCGCACATCGGCCTGGTCGATCACTTTCGAATCCATCGCATAAAGACTGACGAACCTGTGTCTGGCGCACCAACATACACTCGCCCCATCCGCCATCACTGTCCCCGCACACTCAACGCATGGGCCTTCCTGGTCACAAACGTGAGCGGAATTCACCGCAGCATCGACACACCTAGCACACCATGAACATCCACCGAGCTCAGCCTAACCCACACCACATCACCCAGCGCACCCACCACCATCACCAAAATCGACTCCGACACTGCCGATCTATCCTGCCCACACTGTCCTCGTGCATTCACCTCACCCATCGACCTGGTCGGTTACTTGCGAATCCATCGCACGGAGACTAGCAAACCAGTGCATGGGGCATCAACGTACACTCGCCTCATCCGCCTCTACTGTCCACATTGCCCGGATACCACGGAGTGGGAGTACCATAAGGGCCACATTAAGAAGGAGCCATTGCAGCCTGACTCTTAGACCGTCGGTCGGCCGCTTCATACAAACACACGACACTGGGCCGACTGTGAGGTCCAAGTTATCCCGTCAGTTGGCAACCTTCCAAGCCACGGCTTTCAGCACACCATGATGGCTTCAAGCGCGTCTGATTGTCTATAGTGAGGAAAAATGCGCTGAGTTGTCGACCTCATTCTCCTTTCCCATTCCCAGGCCCTTGCCACTGTCCGAGCCGGTCAGTTGACAGGCGCGGGGAATGGGCGCAGTGGTTGACATATCTAGTGGTCTT